TATTTGACAGAGAGAGACACAGTGCGAGAGGGAACACAAGCAGGGGGACTGGGAGAGGGAGAAGCAGGAGAGGGAGAAGCAGGCTTCCTGCAGAGCAGGGAGCCCGACGCGGGGCTCGATCCCAGGACCCTGGGATCATGACCTGAGCCGAAGGCAGACGCCTAACGACTGAGCCACCCAGGCGCCCCTACTTTATTTTTAAAGATTTTATTTATTTATTTGAGAGAGAGAATGAGATAGAGCATGAGAGAGGGGAGGGTCAGAGGGAGAAGCAGACCCCCTGCTGAGGAGGGAGCCCGATGCGGGACTTGATCCTGAGACTCCAGGATCATGACCTGAGTCGAAGGCAGTCGCTTGACCAACTGAGCCACCCAGGCGTCCCGCATTTATTTTTTTAAAAAGATTTAATTATTTGTTTGAGAGAGAGTGCAGGGGGGAGGAGCAGAGGGAAAAGGAGAGAGAAACTCAAGCAGACTCCACGCCGAGCATGGAGCCTAACATGGGACTCAGTCTCATGACCCTAAGATCACAACCTGGACCAAAACCAAGAGTCAGATGCTTAACCAACTGCACCACCCAGGCGCCCCACTTTAGCTTTTGCATTTAGATCTATGACCCATTTTGAATTAATTCTTGTATATGGCAAGGGGTACGAATTGCAATTTGTTTTAAAATATGCAAAAGCATATGAATATCCAATTGTCCCAGCACCATTTGTTAAAAAGAGCATCCTTTCTCCACTGAATTGCCTTTGTACCTTTGTCGAAAATTCATTGACCAAGTAAATGTGGGTTATTTCTGAACTCTCTAGTCTACCTGAACATTGTTTTTTAAATTTGTTTTATTGTGGTAAAAATATATATAACTGAAAATTTGCTAGTTTAACCACACTTAATATACAGTTCACTGGCATTAATTATATTCACACTATTGTTCAATCATCATCACGATTTTTTCCAAAATGAACATGATTTTTTTTAAAGATTTTTATTTATTTGACAGAGAGAGACACAGCGAGAGAGGGAATGCAAGCAGGGGGAGTGGGAGAGGGAGAAGCAGGCTTCCCACCGAGCAGGGAGCCCGATGTGGGGCTCCATCCCAGGATCCTGGGATCATGACCTGAGCCAAAGACAGATGCTTAACGACTGAGCCACCCAGGCACCCCTGAACATGATTTTAATCTCACTTTTTTCTTAAAAAAAAAACAAAAAACTGAGAATTTGGTATAGCATTTCATCACACCCCTAGTTTTGTTTTACTATGAAAAAATAATGTCAATGCTCCTGAAAGATGAACCATATTTAGCCTCTAACCTCATGTGGATTCCATGGCATCCCTCTGTCCCTAGGTTGTTCAAACTCCCATTTCAGAACCTCAGAGGAAAGTAGAATTTACAGAGATCTTAGAGGTGACCTTGAAGCCCCTTAGTTTTACAGACATGAAAGCTGAGAACGTGGATTCCGTGCTGGTGAGTGACAGAGCCAGTTGAAAAACAAGAAATGCTATTTTTGTGCCATGAGGGTTTGCACCAAATCCTGGAGCCCCCCTCCATGAGACCTGGCTTTGGTGAGATCACTTCTCTTCTCCTCAGGACACCAGGGAAGTGAAGCCACACAACCCTTCTCGGAGGGTTGTCTTGAGAGTTCACCCAAGGAGTAAAATCACCCCAAAGTCAACAAGAGGCGAGGGGCTGTCAGGAACAGAATACCTGTGGGATTTCTGACCACCAGGAAGTGGCCACTGAGGACAGAAGGCTTAGAAAGAGTTCTCGCAAGAGGGAAGGATGACACCAGGCAGCGATTCTTGCTCTCAGGCTGGGTTGTGGATTATTGGTGCAAATAGAAAAGAGTCCCCTTTATGGATTTGATTGAAAATGCTAATGAGCAGCCTGCTTCTTCTCATCCATGGCTATTTTACAGTAGTCCCTTCCCTGAAACACTAGAATTGTGATCTGATTTATCATATGAAGTGGGGTTTCTTGGAAATAGCTAGAAACCACTACTCCAGTGAGTCACTAACCCTGCCCACAAATGCAAATTTTCCTCTTTTAAATTGATTTACTCATTTTTTTAGTAATCTCTATACCCAACATGGGGCTCAAACTCACGACCCCGAGACTAAGAGTCACATGCTCTTCTGACTGAGCCAGCCAGGAGCCCCCCAAATGCAAATTTTCTTAACAAGAAAAGCACGGGGTTTCTTGCAGCAGCACAGTATCAGTGGCTAACCCTGTAGAGCAGTCACTGTAATGGCACCATCACTGGAAGCACTTTCCATACTTACCAGAGCTCAGTGAGATGCGGACAATTGTTTTCCTCCTTCTGTCGAAGAAAGGAAGGCACAGCTGGCCCAAGATCAGCCAGCTTGCCTCCACTGTGTCCAGAGGCCTCAACAACACATTACAGGCATCTCCAATCACTGCTGAGGTCTGGAGATGCTCCCTTGACCTCTGTCACGTGATTTATGGATATGGTTGTGAGCATTTGACAGCCCCAATGAGTGAACTGCCGAGCGTGCTGGTGGCCAGTTGGAAAATACATGAAGCCAGGGAGTGGAGGGAGGCCCAGCCTCCCGGTGGGCGCTGAGGCACACAGGTCAGCCTGGGCTGGCCTGCTCAGCCTGTCGCCCTCAGCTGTCTCTCTCGCTCTCTCTCTCTCCCTCTCCCTCTCTCTTGCTACGCGGCCGAGCCGGGCTCACAGATGGGAACTGCCATTTATAAGCTCTCTGGCAAAATCAGCTTTCAGGTGAAGAAAACTCACAGACGCGGTAGGTTACCTCTGCTTCTGAGTCGGCTGGTACCTGGGCTGCTGGGAGGACGAGGAGCCTCCACGTTGGTTCAATTTTCTCTGCCTTTGATGTGCTAGAAAGACCCAGGTGGCCTTCAGGGCTGGGGATAAATGCTTCCGTCGGGTTTGCTGTTTCGCTGTCTCATCATCTGAGTTCATTTATAAGCCAGTTCACAAATGAGCTTTATTTCTCGTAGGCAAATGTGCTTCCAAATTTCGCATGAGTCAAATGAAGGTTGGAGACACCAGAGCCATCCAGCGTCTATCACAGGACGGCTCAGTAGGTTTAATTTTCCATAACAGATGGAACATTAACTCCAGCATTATTGTGACCAGTTATAAATATCAAAGACATGTGTTTTGCAGTTCAGATTCTTCCTAAAAGGACTCAAGGACTTCTAAGCTTTAGTCCGCAGCTCCCAAATCTTTCTTGAGAAGCGATGGAAAAATGCATTCAGGCTTGCGGCGCTGCAAGGAGAATGGTGGGGGGTGTTCAGGTAGAGAGGCATGCCTGGGAATGCATGGGAAAGCCTGGGGTTCTGCCAGGTTCAAAAAGCGGGCAGATACCAGTTCTGTGTCCCCATCATAATGTTATAGCATTTGCCACACTGTATCGTGAGGATCGCTTCTCGTACCCATTCCTCCCACTGAGGGCAGAGACTCAGTCTTCTGTCACTGTGCTGAGTCTTCCGGTAACTGTCTAACAAGCCCTGGAATGAAGTAGGCACTAGCATTTTGTTCGTGGATTTAAGAATGTACACATGCGTGAGGAATAAGTCTCTGCAGATTAGTTGAGTTTGACTCTAGAGGCTCTGACTTCTAGGTCACCTTTGGATGCTATTTTGTAAGCCAGGTCCCTGTTACCCTCCTATAGGTCTGATCAGAGCATCAACACACAAACATTTTGATGATGATGATGATACAGACTGCTTTATCCTTGGCTAGAATAAAAACCATGAATAGATCCCCACTCTAAATTTTCCTGCAGGGTCTTTCTTATCTGGATAATACTACTTTAATGGGTGAAGTTATTTCATGATAAGGTCCCTTAAGTACTTCATAATGTAATGGATCCCATTACTAGACTAGTATTGTGAGAATTCTATTTGCTGGTGAACAGAGTTGTAGAATTTCTTGTCTATGTATTGTAATGTAGCTGAAAGAGCTCTTTTTAAAAAGATTTTTATTTATTTGAGAGAGAGAATGAGAGAGAGCACGAGAGAGGGGAGGGTCAGAGGGAGAAGCAAACTCCCCGCTGAGCAAGGAGCCCGATGCGGGACTCGAGCCCGGGACTCCAGGATCATGACCTGAGCCGAAGGCAGTCGCTCAACCAACTGAGCCACCCAGGCACCCCAGAAAGCGCTCTTTTAAAGACATTTACATTGGAAAACAGTTTGGCAGTCTGTTAAAATTAAACAGAGTTTACCATATGACCCAGAAATTCCATTCCTAGGAATGAAAACAACCCAATATCTATCAACCGATAAGTGGATAAACAAAATGTGGCCCTTCCAGGCAATTAAATATTATTCAACAATAAAAAAGAATGAAATTCTGATATGTGCCACCACCTGCTGGTTGAAAGAAGCCAGACGCAAAAGGCCACAGACTGTATGATTCTATTCATGGGAAATGTCCAGAAAAGGCAAATCCACAGAAAGTAGATTCGTGGTTGCCAGGGGCTAGAGGAAGAAGCAAATGGGCAGTGATTGCTAACAGGTAAGGGATTTGTCCTTGGGGTGAATGGAGTGTTCTGGAATTAGATCATGTTTGCACAACATTATGACTATACTAAAAAAGACTGGATTTTACTCTTTAACATGGTGAATTTTACATTATGTGAACTTTATCTCAATTGAAAAATTGCAGACACAAAAAAATAGAGTAGCCTAATCCCCGTCTTTGTGAAATATATTCACCGATATATTATGTTTAGATTTCAATGAAGGCCAAGACGGTCGAGGCTTAAATGGCCCCACATACTGCTGTGAACAAATGGGCCTCACACAAACACAGATTCGTTACTCCAGGTCAGACGCTGGCTTTTGGTTTGAGGGCTTCACTTTCCCTCTGCCACATGTATCTAACCAGGAACCTCACGTGCTCTCTCTTTCAGAGGGTAAATATATATGTCATTCTTACTGCCGAGACCTGGTACATCTGGATTATCCACAGAATGGGAAAGCACCAAGCCGCGTGCCAGCTCGCGAAGTAAGACATTCAAGCAAAAAGAATACTCAGGTAGGCACTGTTGGGTGACATTCTGAGTTTGGCAGTACCATTTCTCATGTGCCAGAGAATGGTCTTCTTACCCCCGTGGCTTACCCAAGTATCTCCACAGGCTCTAGCCCGTTTCTCCTTTTCTCAGGGCCCGTCCAGTCAGAAGCTTGACTCTGGGTTGTGATTTTAGAAATAACCCGAGAGAATGATTTGATAGTTCATCCAACAGATCTGGAATAAGATCTGAGGCTTCCACGTACACAACTGCTTGTCCAGGCTCTGAATGTGGTCTTGTTGCCGGGTGCCCTCCCTGCCACTGAAAGCAGGACGTGAAATGTGAATGTGTGTGTCTCCCTGCTGGGGAATCCGTCGGTTGTCACGGGTTCCATCAAAGCAAGGATCTCTAGCTAGGAGGTAGTGATCTACTCCCCAGTAGATCCTCAACCCCCTCCTCACTGTTCTCCCTGCCTTGCGGAGATTTTCCAAAGGAAGGGGGTGTGACTGGCCCTGAGGCCTGCTCCTCTGCAAACTCGACTATCTCTAGCGTCTTCTCTCCTGACCCATCAAGATTTTTTGGTTTGTTTGTTCGTTTGTGTTTTGCCATAAGGTTGAGGACACTTGCATTAAATGATCTCTGATTGGTCAATTTCTGGGAGCTCACTGCTGTATCTGAATAGGATTCCTAAAAGTAGGCAGCCGTATTCTTTCTTTCATATGTGAATAACACTATTATTCAATTTGGGGCCATGAAGCCGATTCCGCATTGCCCCCTGAGCAGTGCTGAGTACAAAAGACCAGATCCGTGGTTTTGCCACTGGTTTTTCCCCTAATAAAGTTAACTCTTGGTAAGAACAGTAATCGCTGCTGTGCGGAGTGTGTTCAGCGTGTGTGGTTCACATCTTCTGAGTCCCCGTTCGACTTGATGGTGCTTGGCGGGGGCACAGGACACAAATGGGGAGTCTGTAAAGGGCACAAAGACTAGCTTTTCTGGCAAACTGATGGCTTCATATTAAGTAATGACTGATGTGAATTTTACAACGGGAGCCTCCTGGAGACCCTGCAAAGTTGTGTCAGCCTTAGAACTAACTTCAGAATATGCCTTCATCTCAGGAAGAAAAGCTTGGATTAGGGATGCAGTTTGTAATTAATAGGATACCTTTGGAGTGAGCAGAGAGGATAACAGAGGTATTATGAGAAGCTCTAAGGATAACAAATATATGCTTGTTCGGCTTGAAAAAAAATACAGAGTTCAACTGCAAGGTTTAAACAAATGCTTTAAGAAGTTTCTCAGAAGGTACCTGAGCTCCCAGTGCTTGAATCATTTATATTCTTTTCTTGTATAGATTTTTTTTTAAGATGTATTTATTTATTTGACAGAGAGACACAGCGAGAGAGGGAACACAAGCCAGGGGAGCGGGAGAGGGAGAAGCAGACTCCCTGCTGAGCAGGGAGCCCGATGCGGGGCTTGATCCCAGGAGCCTGGGATCATGACCTGAGCCGAAGGCAGACACTTAACGACTGAGCCAGCCAGGCGCCCCTCTTGTATAGATTTTTTAAAAAGTAATATTGAGCTCTCTAAAAGTTTTAGAAAATGATAATTTGATACTTATTTTAGTTCAGTAATTTTAAAATTGTAGAATGTAAGATTTAGAAGTTGACATTTTGGGGAGACCCAGATTTGGTTTGCAAGACGGAGCCACGTAGAACATTGTGGAAACAGCCTTCCCAGCAGGCTGAGTATAAAATTCCTCCATATTAGAGTAAGAATAACCCCCAACTGGGAATGCCACTCTAGCAGATCATTTACTGTATGTACATCTCCAGGAAAATGACATGTACCTATCCTGTGGTGATGAGACTCCTATCAGAGCTTGAATATTTTTTTCTCATGAGGCATACCCAAAATGTGATGCTATAATACATGGTTTTAACATTCTACCTCATCAATCCACTCTTGTGAATTGGGATTTGAGACTCTGATTTTCTCTTATTGGCTTTAAATGTGCAAAATGACAAGTGTAATTGTTCCAAAGTCATTAACAGGATTCTGAGGGTTGGCAATATCTCTAGCCTCAGGATATTAAACTTTAGGAAGTGTGTATTAGCTGATTGTGTTACAAGATCTCTCAGTCTAATTGTAATTCCCAATGCTGTTGGCCTCGGCCACTGAGAGTAGGAGAAACTGCAGAACGATTTCAATTCAGTGAAGACCCTTGAAAAGAAGGATTCCAGCAGAATCTCCTGGAAACCATAGAATTTGGCCAAAGAACCAAGAAAAGAATTCTCTCACTCTTATTTTCCTGCCACTTTCTGATATGGTGAGGACTTTGAAAGATGTTTGAAAAGCACTTTTCAACTATAAACCGAGGGGTTTGACTAAGTATGAGAAGTTGTTCCTCTTTTACCTCTAGACCCCACAGGCCACAAAGTCATTCTTAAGTCGTCGTGTGTTTGGTTTCCTTGGTTTAGCACTTTACACACTCAAGTTTTTACTTACTCCCCATCCAGCAGCAATTATTAGCCTCAACCCTATGAACTTGCCATTATCATGAGTCAGAAATGGTTGACTGCCAGCTAGTTTCATAGGGCTCAAAGTCAAACCCAGGGAATCCGTCATCATTCTGAGTTAATGGTAACATTTTGTGATGGGAGCACCTGTCGCGTGGCCTCCCCGCTGCTCTTCTTGGGTGGGTGTGGCCCGGTGGTTAACAGCAGGACAGAGCCTTCTCTTCCGGCCCCATGGAGGGGGAGGTTGGGACAGCTGGTGGAGTTAGTGGCAGCTACGCCACCAGAGGGTGCTCTAGCCCTGATTACCGCATGTTCGCATGTTTGCCCGATTCCAATGGAAAACAGCGAATGTATAATCATTGCTCATATTTATTGTGCATTTATGGGCAGAACTAAGGTGTAAACATATCATATCACTATTACTTGCATTGTTAACATTAATTAAACTTCCGTGTGCTTGCCACCTATTATTTCATTTCACGCCTATCACAATTCTATCAGAATACTATTTTTATTTCTACAGATGAGAAGATTGAAGCGTACAGAGGTTAAATGGTTTTACAAATGAGAAAAATAAAACAGATTTTATCGACAGGCTCAACCCTCTATTAAAGCTTTCTTTCCTTCCCTTCCTCTTTTTTCTCTTTTCCCACTGGCAATGTAAAGGAGATATATCCTTGTTTAAAAACAAAAAGAAAAAGAGCTGAAGCTCATTCCACAGAGCCAGCAAACTTTCCAGCCCTGCCGGCTGGCTGCTGAAGCAATAGGGCCACCAGCCGCCCCCATGCCTGGTCCCACACATTGCTCAGACTACTGCTTCTGTCACTCCTTCCCCCCTCAAGCTTGCCTGAGATGACTATTTGATCTTGGTTTCACCCTTATTTAAATTCTGAAGGGCGGAGGGCGGACAGGAGAAAATGTTAGGACTCTCCATAACCCTCAAAGATGGCGGCCCTACTTCCTTCTATGGCACTTTCCAGTATGTGCACAGCCTACCTATGCGCTGTGACTAAGAGCCAGATCCAAGGCCTGCCACGCTACTAGCTGGTGGCCCTGGTTAAGTCATTTAACCTCATCCCTCACATTTGTGCAGCAAACATAGCACTCTCTCAGTCTTAAGATTTTCGTGGAGATTTAATCAGCACATAGAAAAGTCCTTAGTCCAGTGGCTGGCAGAAAACTATTCCGTTAAGGTTCACTAATACTACCATTTTCTTTACTTCTCCCAACAACCTATAAGGTAGGCATTTAGCAGAGAACCTGGCTTAGAGCAGATTGTCGAGTGCCGGTGGTTAACGGAAGAGGAAATCTGAGTTTGCAAGAGGCCAAGCGACCTGCCAAAGGTCAACAGCTGGCATTTTAACTACAACATATTTTCGAAATTGTTTTCAGTTTTTTGGTAGGCGAGACTGAGAGACATTATTTTCAAATAGATTACAAAAAGCACGCAGCACTGTAAGCCCCCCGTACACAAGAGCTAGAGGCCTTCCAACAGACTTCAGAAAAGGCCTGGTGTTTGTTAGTTGAGGTTCCAGCAACACAATCCCACCCCCACTTCAGATTTAGGGGAGCCTTGAAGTTAATTTCATTTAAATATTGTAATGTGACTTTCCGAACAATTAGCATTTTATGTTTTGTTTTTTAAAAAAAATGGGAGAATAAAATATATAATATATATATTTATACTATAGATACACTATATTATATATATATACTATATATATAATTTGTATATATATCTTCTCCCATATATACATATGTATGTATATATATATGGGAGAATATAATTTTGGGGACTGGGGATCATGGCTGGAAGGGGAGGGAGAACGAGAAATAAAGTGTGGTGGGAAGGCCAAGAACTAAGGCAAGAGATTAGAATGCTGGGCTTCAACAGTATTTGTGAAAATTGTACTTTTGGTAAAGTACTGCTAAGAAATTTGGAATTTGGGGCACCTGGGTGGCTCAGTCGGTTAAGCGTCTGCCTTGGGCTCAGGTCATGATCTCAGGGTCCTGGGGTCGAGCTCCGCATCGGGCTCCCTGCTCAGTGGGGAGTCGTCTTCTCCCTCTCCCTCTGCCTGCCGCTGTCCCTGCTTGTACACTCTCTCTCTCTCTCAAATAAATAAATAAAATCTTTAAAAAAAAAAAAAAGAAATTTAGAATTTTTACTAAGAATTATAGTAAAGTATATGCTTCAGGGTAATATGTCCTTCACGAGTAGAAATATGCTATCTGGGGTCCAGAAACATTTGATGCTTGAGGTGCCTGGCTGACTCAGTAGAGTATGCAACTCTTGGTCTCAGGGTCATTAGTTCCAGCCCCACACTGCGTGTAGAGCTTACTTTAAAAAAGAAGGAAAGAAAAAGAGACATCCAGTGCCCAATCAAGGCCACAGAAGCTCCACATCTCAGAGACAGGACCTTGGGTGTCAGTCAGCCTGACCTCTTTCCCAGTCAGGCTTGCAACCTGAAGCAGATGACCATCCAGGCTCCACTTCAACATTTCTCCTGAAGGGA